GTAGCCCTTTATGTGATGATTCTCCATATATTTGCCTCATATTTTATGCAGTCTTCTGTCTGCTGACAATGGTGTGAGATTGGTAGTGTTGGGAATGCAGAATGAGATTTCAGTAATATCTTGGTAATGTCATTCTCAGTTCTTCCCTTGTCAACCAGAGGCCTATCCCATCTATATCTTTAAAAAATAAGAAATAATGTGACTTACTTGCTAGAAATCAGGTGTTTTAACAGCACAGACAATTGTGGCCATTATTTGATGAACCATTGATATTATAGTATGGAAGATTTTTGTTGGGATGGGCTGCAGCAATCTTAGTGATTGTAGATTTGCAGGCACACATTCTCAGGTTTACTCACAAATCTCCAGGTAGGTTTGGCTAAGATTCTGCCGTCTGCTTGTCCATCCATCCATCCATCCATCCATCCATCCATCCATCCATCCATCGCAAGTGCTATTACTAGAGTCTTCTGCAAATAAGATAGCTTCTTTTTAGCCAGATCGGCCTCTTTGATTTGGGTTCAAAATATAGGGTCATTTACCAAGAACCTAAAGACATAAGATGCAGGGCTTTTTTTCTCGGAGAAAAGGTGGCGGAACTCAAACCTGGCCACGCCCTCATCAAACCCTAGGACCGCCCCTTTAGAGAACAGGAATGCAAGTAAAATTTGGGAGGGGCTATTTCCGGTGTGGGAGGGGCTATTTCCGGTGCGGCCGGCCCGGAAAAAGGTGCCGGAACGCGGTTCCGCCGCGTTCCGGCTGAAAAAAAGCCCTGATAAGATGTATCTTTTTCCAAGGACTACTTTCACTTTGCTGCTCTTCCAAAGGTGCTTCATACAATCACGTCAGAGACTTTAATTACTTGGATCTATTATAGCAGGGGTGTCAAACACGCAATGTCATGTGATGTGTCGCGAGATATCGCAACTTTTTTTTCCATTGCCGGCATTGCGGTTTCAGCATGACACATATGGTCCATGGGCCGGCAGTTTGACACCCCTGTATTATAGTCTCAAGTGAAAGGGGATAACCAGACTTTCAAATCCTGGAGAAAGACTTGAAAATAGTATACTTTTAATCTGGGGATGTAAATGTTAAGAAGCTGAACTCAGACAAGGACAACATGATCGAAACCTTCATTTGACCATTGAGAACATCAACAGAGAGACAAAGCTTTATTTCAATCATTGACCAATAAACATACAATCAATCACATGAGCAATACAAAACTATATCCTCTAACAACAACTATTAGCAGCCATTTATCTGAGATCAACGGGTGACTTTGAACCACTTACTGTTTCCCAGTAGAACCAATTTTAGAGGACTGTTCAGAAAATGAGAAGCACCCCCTCAAGAAATAAGACACAATACCCATGCACCGTAATAAACAAATCAATTGCCTCTTTTTCTTTATCTTTTTAACTGCTTGGATCTTTTGGACTACCGGTACTTCAGAAATATTGTAGATTATCTCTATATTACATTGTACTTAGCAATGCACATTTTTTTGCCCTTTGATATATAATCAGCATTTAGGAAGTTATGCCATCCTACAATTCCTGATTTAAGCTTTTTGAATTACGTTAAAGCTCTGAAGTTGTTGTTTTTTTAATTGCCATGTGATTGGTTGCTCTTAATTTTTTCACCAGGAACTGCTCTGTGAACTTTCAATATCTGTCAGTCCTCAAAAGTTCTTTTAGCTGTTAGGGTTTATAACCATCCTTTCAGCTTAATCATTTGTAAGCTTGCTTGAATACTATATAATAGTGCACAGTCACACTTCTGCTCTAGGCTCACTGAACTGCTTAGGTTACTTGTGGATATAGTTGACCAAAGAATACATACCTCGTAGGATTTTTATTACAGTGTGTACAATAAAAAATAATAATACACTCATCAGCTGAAAATGATAAATGGGCACTACTAAATGGGGTGTTTACCTTAAAACCATCCACAGCCATGTCCTGATTGGACTTCTTAGAAAGTAAGAGAATGTGTGCTTTTTGCTAAAAAGAATAATCTCAGTGCAGTTTCCAACAGGTCAGAGTTAAGAATCAGCAAATTTTGTGAGAAGAACTGATATTGGTGTGGACACCTCTGGGATGACTAGACAACAGTTTGATGTGGCAGAAAGCAATGACCTGTGTCAGTGCCTGTGTGTATTTAGGAAGAGGGGAATGCTTTTGCCCATGCAAGTAGTGGATCTCAGTGAGCAGAGATCTGAAAGATTTGCCACAAAACAAAGAAGACCTTCAAGCCATGAGGTATCCCTTCTAGATCACATGTACATTATATACTATTATATTAATGTACACCATGTACCATTATTTGCAGCTTCATTGATACAGATCTCAGTATCTATTTTCCCCAAGGCAGCCAAGTAACTAAATACAGGTAGTCCTCAATTTACGAACACATTTGAGCCCAAAATTTCTGTTGCTAAGTGAAAAATCAAATGAATTTTGTCCCATTTTACGACCCTTTCTTGCCACAGTTGTTCAGTGAATCCCTGCAGTTGTCAAGTTAGTAACAAGGTTGTTAAGTGAATCTGGCTTCCCCATTGACTTTGCTTGTCAGAAGGTCGCAAAAGGTGTCACATGATTCCGGGACACTGCAACCGTCATAATTATGAGTCAGTTGCCAAGCCTCTGAATTTTGATCACATGGATGCTGCTGCAACAGTTGCATGTGTGAAAAATGGCCATAAGTCACTATTTTCAGTACCGTTGTAACTTTAAAAGGTTTAAACACGCTGTTGTAAGTTGAGGACTATCTGTAAGAGTACTCAAATGGAGTATTTCTCATTCACAAAAATATGAAGCCTGCACTATATATTGCTTGAGCTTGTCTTTTGAAGAATATGGTCTGTTATCTTTGTAAGGCCTGTGGCCTAAGATTTTTGCAATTTCAATTTAGGATTGAAATTGAAGTTTGTCTACAAAACATGTTCTATCATTGTCTGTTGTATGCTTTAATGTGGATGTTGCCCCAGTTTGGATAGTCTAAATCAGGGGTAGGCAACCTTGGCTCTTTTATGACGCGTGGACTTCAACTCCCAGAATTCCTGAGCCAGCCATGCTGAGGAGAAAGGGAGAGTTTCCAAGCTGAGCCATGCTGGCTCAGGAATTCTGGGAGTTGAAGTCCACAAGTCATAAAAGAGCCAAGGTTGCCTACCCCTGGTCTAAATGGTTACTTCCAATTCTATACATCTATAGACCTTCCTCTGCCTGAGCTGGGTTAACTGTGTTGTCAACATTTGTTTTATTCTCTTTGTGGAGGGTTCTAAAAAAAAGCCAGATGTCAGTCTTTTCCCTTTCAACTTTTTCTGAGATTTATAAGAACCACTTTATCTGCACATCACCTCTGCTTTGCAATATGTGAACTTCAGGAAGATGACTTTAAAATACCAATATTTTGTTGTAGGTTTTGCAGTTGATTCTCTTTCCTCGATACACAGATATTATAATGTGGAATGTTACAGCTCTGAATCTGTGCACTGCTGTTCTTTTTAGAGTTCAGTTTAAGTACCTATTACGTGTAGCCTGTACTTACATCCATGGATGCCTAGCCAAGCAGGGTGAATAAAAAAACGAAACAGTCTGTAGTGGAATCTAGCTTACATTTTAAAAACAAGTCGGTACTCACTCTTTCTTAAAAACAAGTCAGCCTTAGATAACCTGAATCGAGAAGGGCGGGAGAAGGGCGGTATACAAATTAAATTATCTATCTATCTATCTATCTATTATAGTACAAGCTACTAAATTATAGACAAAATGGAGATAACATTACTTTATTTTCCTTAAAAGTAAAATTTTGTACTTATGCAAGGGTTGTGAAGGGACTTTACACCAGGGGTGTCAAACTCAATTTCATTGAGGGCCGCATCAGCATTGCGGTTGCCCTCAGGGGGCCGGATGGGTGTGGCCATGGTGGGTGTGGCCTACTGGGTGGGCGTGGATGGAGTGGGTGTGGCCCACTGGGTGGGCGTGGCCAGCTCTACATCGTTCGCGTCAAGGGTGCCTGTGGGGGCCTGGGCAGGAGAGGGATAGATCTGAGGGTCTCTGGCAGAAGGGGGTGGGACCGGGGCAAGTGCCAAGGCATGGTCCACTGGAGGAGCCTCACTGTTCCTCTCAGGCCATGCTGGGGGGGGGGGCTTACGGAGCTAAGACTGAATGTGTATCAGCATAGATGACCACCACAAAATTGTACATTGGCTCTCGGCCGGTCTGGCCAGGGCCAAGGCTGCAGGGGCCGTTCCCTCACTGTTTCCAGAATGGCTTCGCGGGCCACATGAAACCACTTCGCGGGCCGCATCCGGCCCCAGGGCCTTGTGTTTGACATGTCTGCTTTACACCATTCCACTTCCAACAAGCCTTCTACACACCCTGGAATGGGGAGGAATTCTAGCGTGGATCTGCTTGGTGGTTCCAAGGACAGATGATGTATCCTTGGAGATGCCTGCAGGCTGGATGTGCCACACTGCTAATCTTGTTACCATCTATTGATAAAACTGATTTCTTAGTAGGATTATATTAGCTCCTGGTTCTAAAGTTTTAGTTCCTTTCCCAGCTTAGACAGATCTGGTGTCTTGAGGCAAGTCCCTGTGAATGAACGTTACTTCCAGCCTCAAGTAAGAGTCAGGTGTCCAAGCTGGGAAGAGAACATGTTGCCCAGTTGCTATTTTTAAGTGCTTGAACAGTGCACGGACACTAGTTAGCCGTCTTCTGAAGCAGAAACTCTGGTCGTAATCAGCTGTTACTTTTGCCAAATCTAGGTCAGGGCTTCTATAGAGTGCTGTTTGCACAAGGAATTGCAGCAAGCAATTTCCAAAGAGAAACTGCATGGCCCTTGCCAGTCCTACAAGAGTGCTTCATGGGAAAATAATTTGTTTTGTTAACCCGGCTAACAAAGCCTGATAATCTGCCTTTGCAGACAGGGGAGGATTGATACAGCACCAACCTAACAAAACAAGATTTGTTTTCCGGAATTCTTGATCTCTTCCACCCCTGAGGAGACGTGGTAAAGTGTGGTTGACTTGAGAGTGTGGAGTGTTGAATGTAAAAAGCCTAGCAAATTTGTTCCTAATTGCTTTGCTTGATCTTCTGGTTTCCCATGATGGCATTGCTTTTTTCTTCAAAAAATAAATAAATTATGGGAACAGAGACTAATGGAAGTTTAGATAATTGATTTGGTGTGGATTTAATAATCCAACATTGGAGTAAACAAAGTAAAGCAACGCTATCACTCTGTCTTCGGGATGCATTCTGAGGATCATGTAATTCAAGTTGCTTTATGGGTTTAACCTGTAGGTCTTTAAGGAATGAGGAGATGCCAATTAACCTAATCATCATAACATACTTGAATTGTGTGCTGAATATGCAGCTGGAGAAAATTAGTTAATTACATCTTATTTTCATGAGGTTTCACCTTTCTAATTTAAACAGGTGGCCTCAGGGAAGCCGATAGTTCCCAGGTGAATCTTAGTCTTCGTGCGATATGTTTTCTTTTGGGTTAATATTGTATGTAAATCTAATCATGTAAGCCACAGTTTACAATTGCTGTCATCTTGGCAAGTTGTGATATATTCAGTAAACCATAGTTAATAAGCCATGCCTTATTGTAATGTTCAAATCAAGTCAATATTTCTCAGTCTCATTTCTCTTGTACTAATTCCAGTGGAAGTTGTTATAAAGAATACAGAGATGCCTTAAATGCTTTTAAAGTTGCCTAAAATGGTAATGTTATCCCTCACTATGATGGGGGCTCGGGATCTTTTAATGGAGTCAGGCTCTTAGCACAATAAAATGCAAGTATTTTGATTCCTGGTATGTTAGTGCATTTATCTGGTAGAATAAGAACTGGCAAAGAGAGAGATAATTAGAGATTGTAAAGTAGCTGTTGCAGGTTGGCCCCCTATCCCTTCAGGTTGAGTTTAACCAAGGAAACATAGGGGATAGAGACAGTGAACCATTCAGATGAAAGTTCTTGCTTTTTAATGTCAGGTCAGTTGCTCATAAAATATCCAGAATTCAATTCTGGATAAAAACATTGATTTGCCAAGTATTAAAGCAGTGCTTCTCAACCTTGGCAGCTTGAAGATGGGTGGACTTCAGCTCCCAGCTCTCTGTGGGCACACATGCCATTGCCCCAGCCTTGCCTCCCCCAGCGACCCCCTCACCAGCAGCTCCCCTGGAGGAGAGTCGCCTCCGAGCGTGGCCCACGTGGAGCAGCGCAGCCAAGGACACGGCAGCCAGGCAGCGTGGACAAGACTTTGCCCTCACGCCCCATCACACACAGTTGATGCTGCGGGGCGCAGGCAGAGGGCGTGGCCGCCATGGTGCTGCTGGGCTGCGTGGGCGATCTGTGGCGGGCCCTGGAGGCAGTGAGTGGCCCTGCGGGCGGGCAGGGCGGGGCAGAGCGGGGGCAGGGCAGGGGGTGGAGTGGGGGTGGGGCCAGTTTTTGGACACTCGGTCTCTAAAAGGTTCGCCATCACTGGCTTAGGGACTGATGATCTTCCAGACCACTTCTCATCTTATGAGCTGTCTGGTTACTGAGACCAGCAGAAGAACCTCCCCAGTACCAGAAGCTCATCTATGGGATACACAACACAAGAAAGGGTCTTCTTTATGGCTCTCAAGCTATTGAGCAGGTTTCCTAAAGGGCTTTCTTTGGCTTTCCCTCTCTCATTAGTTAGGAAGGTAGTGAAAACACATCTCTTTCTCAAAGCTTTTAGTTGTCTGTTGTTTTATTCATTGATTTTAATTGTGTTATTTTACTTCTGTTTTGTATGTTGTATTTTTTTATTGTTTGTAAGTTGCACTGGAATAAAAAAGAAAAATGGGGTATGAATTGAGTAATACATCCCATCGCTGACTATAGGGGGCGAAACCCTGGCCCCCTCAGAGAGGGCACGCAACTTGGGAGTCCTCCTGGACTCACGGCTGACATTGGAAGATCACTTGTCGGCCGTGACCAGGGGGGCGTTCTATCAGGTTCGCCTGATACACCAGTTGCGACCTTTTCTGGACCGGGACGCCTTGCGCACAGTCACTCATGCTCTCGTCACCTCCTGCCTGGACTACTGCAATGCTCTCTACATGGGGCTCCCCTTGAGGAGCATCCGGAGGCTCCAGCTAGTCCAGAATGCGGCCGCGCGGGCGGTGTTGGGAGGGACTCGTCGCTCCCATATAACACCGCTTTTGCGTGAGCTGCACTGGCTGCCGGTGGCCTTCCGGGTGCGCTTCAAGGTGTTGGTTACCACGTTTAAAGCGCTCCATGGCATCGGACCTGGGTATCTTCGAGACCGTCTTCTGCCGCAGATTGCCTCCCATCGACCGGTACGCTCCCACAGAGCGGGCCTCCTCAGGGTGCCGTCGGCCAAACAGTGTCGGCTGGCGACCCCCAGGGGGAGGGCCTTCTCTCTGGGAGCCCCCACCCTGTGGAACGAACTCCCCCCAGAGATCCGGATTATTCCGGATCTCCCCTCCTTCCGCCGTGCCCTCAAGACATGGCTTTTCCATCAAGCGGGATTGGCCTAGGGGGGGATTTTATAGGGATTTTAAAGGGATTTTATAATATTAAATCTAATACAGGTCATTTAATATATATTTTAATTTGGCTTTTAGATATTTATTGTATTGTACTGTTTTTATTTACCTGTAAGCCGCCCTGAGTCCCTCGGGAGAAGGACGGGGTATAAATGGGAATAATAATAATAATAATAATAATAATAATAATATAAATTAACTGGAACTTGGTTGTCTCTGTGATCTCTGTTTGCGAAATTAATACTTACCATACTACTTTTACCTGTACATAGGTGTGACTGCCCTCTCCTGGATGGGATTGGGTAAATTAAAGAATTGGTTGCCTTTTATCTCAGTAGAGGGCATCACCTGGCAGACCATGTCTGGTCTTGAAAGATAAGCAGGGCCGGGCCTATTTAGTATTTAGAATATTCTGGGGAATACCTGGCTAGAGACTAGACTAGGAAGTTGAAACATATCCCAGGAAAAAAAAAATTACAACTGTTGCCAAGAAAACTGCATAGTTGTGACATATATTCACTAGGAGCCAAGCTCAGCTTGAACCTAGCTTTACTGCTGTTTTTTGTTAAGCTCAGACATGGCATACTGATTAAGAGCCAGAATAGAAAATAATCACTTTTCCAAAGCAAGGATAAAAGCACGGTGGAACAGTAGAGAAGACTGTAAATTCAGGGTGGAATTGATTTAAATGGAAATAAATTAAAAACCCACTCAGGGGGAAAATACTCTTTAATTAATTAGGCCACTCAATTCTGCAATGACTCTGGGCAATATATAGTAAAAGCAATTGTGCCTCGCAGTTTAAAAGAAAAACACTGTCAAATGCTATATATAAAAAAACAACCATTTAAAAAACAGGCAAACACACAGAATCCACAACCCAAAGTCTGGGGAAACAGCCAGTTTTAGAGCTCTTTTATAGAGGGCCAATGTAGAGGCCAGTTGCATGGGGAAAGGGGATGGTTTCCAGTATTCAAATCGCTAATCAGGAAAATTATGAGTGGTGGTGTTGTTTAGTCACTTAATCGTGTCTGACTCTTCACAACCCCATGGACCATACCATGCCAGCCCCTCCCTCCCCCCCCCATTTTCTACTGTCTCCCAAAGTTTGCCCAAATTCATGTTCATTTTGTCAGTGACACTATCTAACCATCTCATCCTCTGCTGCCCTTTGCCTTTTGCCTTCAATCTTTCCTAACATCCGGGTCTTTTCCAAGGAGTCCTCGTTTTATGGCCAAAGCATTTGAGCTTCAGCTTCAGTATTTGGCCTTCCAAAGAAGAGTCAGGGTTGATTTCCTTTAGGAAGATTGTGTGCAATCAACATTTTCTTGTCGAAATGCATTTGCATCTCTTTTCTGTGCAAAAATATCATGGCAAAATGCATATTTAAAGGCCAGATACCAAGAAAGAATCTTGGCTTAATAGAATGTGAGACAGGAGTGGATAGTGTGCGAAATGAAAAGGCTGAAATGGCTTCCCTTAATATAGGTGCCTTTGGCTGTTTGCACTTTGTCTCCTGTAATCTTTAGCCATCATAAAGGGAATTGAGTTAATTAGGATAAAACAGAATATTGCCTCCAGAAGCGGTGAATGCTCCAACACTGGAAGTTTTTAAGAAGAGACTGGACAGCCATTTGTCCAAAATGGTATAGGGTTTCCTGCCTGAGCAGGGGGTTGGACTAGATGACCTCCAAGGTCCCTTCCAACTTTACTATTATTATGATTATTACTTTATTGGCTAGGTTGATTAGGCACACAAGGAGTTTGTCTCTGATGCAAAAGCTCTCAGTGTAAATACAAAGCAACAGAATAATGATAATCCTAATAATAATACCAATAACAGAGGGGAGTAAGAAGGGTAAATAAGAAGGATAAATAATATTACAGCCATACTGCATGGGTAAAAAGACATTGATATTAGACAGCACTGTGAGGATTAGGAGTTCAGCTGAGTAATGGCCTGTGGCTCCATCACCTCAATGCTTGCCATAATGAAAACAATGAAATTCTGCAAATAGAAATAAGCATGTTAGTAAGGAAATTATCCAGAGGCATCTCCTTAGGATGCTGACATTGTTTTGTGAAGGAAACTTGCGGGCTGGATAGGAACCTTCTCCTGGTTGTGGATCTTGGGTCATCCTGAAGAGCTACTGACCAGAGCTCCATCAGGAGCAACTGAATGCCTTAACCACAACAAAACATCTATCATATGATCCTCCTCCCACCTTTCGCTGAGATCACTTGTAAGTAACATTCAAGTCAGTAATGCTTCCTATACTCATGGTCAAAATTGGCAGTCT